GACTCAGTTGTATCACTGTAAACTGTGCAGAGATTAAGTTACGTCCTCGCTTAGATTTTTCTGAATCTAATTTTTAAGTCCTCATTGACCTATCAGACCACAGAGGTGAAGATCCATCATCACACAGGTCCCTGCTGGTGGGAGGGGTGGCCAAAACCACCAGGCAATCAACACGTAAAGCACTGAAAGAGAAGTTTCAGGATGTTTTGGTCTGAGTATAGACTGTAGACAGAAGTCACAGACCCAACCCAAAATGAAGTTATCCTCATAGTGAATGTCATTCTGATAACAACAGGATGGAGTGAAGTTTCAATACAAAGTCATCCTTTTTTTTTTTTTTTTTTCGGAGGGGGGTATCACTTTCCTAAAGATACATGTTAAGTAGCATATTTATTCAATGATCTATTAGATGTAAGTATTATTGTTGGAGAAGAAAAGGGAAGAACAAACTAGATTTGGGACTTACTCCCCAGGGATGGAAATAAGGAATAAGTCAACTACACAGCATCATCAAAATGTGGCAGAAGGAAGAACTACCTTAGTAGATCTAAGCTTTACGAAGGCCCGCTCCTCACCTTGACTCCTTGAACATGGATGCCCCAAGGCCCTCACAGGGCCATCAAAGCCATCCGCTTTGGACTTTGATATCACTTAGCTTCCACTGGTCAGGAATTCCTGGAGAAGTCCCACCCCTTCTGCCTAAAGATCCAAACCACATGACTGGTCATTTTCAAATTGAAAAATACCTCCAAGTTCTTTATGATTGGAGACTCTAATGGGAGCTAAAAAGTCAAAGACCTTCAAAACCTCCCAACTTCACAATTCAATTTATTGAGCATGTAATATGAAACTTGGTGGCTAATACCGTCAATGCCTCTTTCAACTCAGAAAAGGAGAAATCAGAAATCTGTAATAGTTTGAGGGAGATCAGATTTGTTTTCTCCTCCCCACCAGGAACACTCTGTGCACCATACTACAAATCACCCTGGGAAATACGTCCATTCAAAGGGCGAGGAGTCTCAGGATGAGCTGCCAGGGGCCATGGTGCACACAGGGGTGGAGGCAATGAAAGACCACCCTGGGGCCTGCAGCAGAGATGATGAGAAAATGAGGAAGAAGAGGGAGAATGATGAGAATCAAGGGTAGAATCAATGGGAAGGCCAGAAGCAGCCCTGGAAGGCAGGGCTTTCAAAGACCCAGGCTTTATGAGGGGTGGTCAGAAGCCATAAGGAGGCTTTGTGCGGGAAGAGGACATGAGCCCACCTGCCTTGCCAAGATCCCTTAGTGAATAAAGACCATTTTTATTTCTGAGGATGAACAGGACCGACTCAGTAGCCTGAAGTCCAAATGGTCCCCATCTCTCCTTTAACAGTAAGGCAAGTGACATAAATAGAGGTTCACGATCACAGTCATGGTATCATCCCAGTTCCAACAAGCCCACCCAGGGGCCACAGAGCTGCATTCTACTGCTCCTCTGGGATGGATGCCAGTGCCAAGAGCAGTGCAGAGAATATGCTCAGAAAAAGGAAACACAAATTAACTCTGGCAGACATTTGGTTCATTTTTCGGAATCCACCTTAAAAAACAGAATTTTCCAGTAGCGAGAGGGGAGGGAAATGCTCACAAGTGGCAAAATCGCTGTGGGACCTAGAGCAACCATGCCCTGCTTCACAGCACTGCCCCTTGAATTTATTTTTTTACACTATGCTTGCAGAGGAACATCTGTGTTTACATCAGGGAATGTCAAAGAGGCACAAAAGAGAAATGGCTAAATACAATTAAAGAGGTAGAATCGGAGTTTGCTGTGGAATTTAAGAGCAAAAAGGAGACTAAACCACATGACTGAGAGCCAGAAAATAGGTAACTGCACTGGAATGAAAATAAAAGCCAACTTCAACAATCAAGAAAAATCTTTGCACTCTGGCAGCAGTGCATCTGCATGCCTGGTGTGTCCCCTTTTCTCACCCTCCAAACCTACTGCTTTTTTAGAAAACTGAAGAGGAAGAGTGGCATGGGGAGATGAGCAGTGACAGGAGATCATTCTTCTTTCAGCCTGATTACTTTCCTGAGTATCACAATTGCTTTAACTCCTTAACTAAATACAAAGTATACAGTATCTATGGTAGAAAACTGGAGATGAACGATTTAGCAAAAGCACATTAGAGGAAAACACCCCTTCCCCCCCCACACACACAGGTTGCCACAGGGAACTTCCAAGTACTAAGTCCGTATTTTTATAATACCATTAAGTGAGCCTTTCTGTATATGAAGCCATAATGGAGAAAGTTGATTGACTTGACTACATAAAACTTAAAATTTTACATAAAAGAATAGTAAGCCAATTTTTTTAATAAAATAGGGAAATAGGAGCACCTGGGTGGCTCAGTTGGTTGGGCATCTGCCTTCGGCTCAGGTCATGATCCCAGGGTCCTGGGATCGAGCCCCACAACGGGCTCCCTCTCCCCACTGCTCGTGCTCATGTGCGCTCGCTCTCTCTCGCACACGCGCGCGCTCTCGTGAGCATGTGTGCTCTCAAAATCTTTTTTAAAGGTAGGGAAATAAAAAAACTATTAAGTTATGATAGAAAATTTTAATTAAGTTTGGTCATCTAAGTTTTTAATAATATCTATCATTTCCTTTGGGGATATTATACACACCTCTTAACAGCCCTGCAAAATAAATGGTACTTAGGTATAGTTAACCCGGGGGTGTGAAGGAGAGAGGAGTATTATAATAAAACAAAGAGATTGAGACACATGGTAGAGACGAAGCTCCAGCAAAGGAAATATTACTTCTTGGTGGAATGAGGTTAGTATCTGTGGAAGAGGCAGCTTTTGGTTGGATCTTAAAAAAAAAAAAAAAAAAAAAAAAAAAGATTTGAACACTGATGGGAAGAACAAAGAAGAGGGCACAGAGGCAGTGAGTCATCTAAAAGCACGGGGACTGAGGGACTGGCTGGGCACAGGGACCTGTTGGGTTTGCCCGCGGCAAGAAGACCCCAGGCTGGCAGAGCAGGCGGAGGTAGCTATGGGAGAGCTTTGATTATCCAGCTAATGAGGCTGGGCATAATTCAAGAGCTGCCGGGAGCCACGGGAGGGTTCGAGAGAACCCAGGTAGCCAGAGTCATCATTTAGGAAGATGAGAGCCGGCCCCAGGCAACGCTGGTCCCCGCATCCCCTCTTTGGGCTCCCAGCCCAGTGCCGCCTGCACGAATGACACGGACCTGATGCTTTCCAGAGTGGCTGGAGGGCAAGCGACAGTCCACGCCTACCTCTCATCCTATTGGTTAGACGTCACCTGCTCTAAACTGGCCAACTAGATGTGTTCCCACACTCCGGACAACGAACCTTTATTGTTTCAGGTTTGAACTGTCAGAGCAGAGAACCAATGTACGCAGCTCTGAAAATACAACAGAAATGAAAGCATATGCATGCTCAATTAGAATACCATCACCAACACAGTGAGACTTCATTGCCTCACCTAGCGCCTCTCAAAATGTTTCTGTGGGTCAGGGGACACAGCATGGACACTTATCCCATTTTCTTGAGAAAAGAAAACTATGGAAGCTGAAACCTACATCCCAAGTGCCCAACGCTTAGGTACGTGCGACAGAGAACAGTCTCTGGCCTACAGGCGAGGATTTTATCAATTACCAGTTGGGATCTTTCTCTGTTAGGGCTGCATCAGAAGAAATCAGTAACTTGCACTTTGAATTTGCATTTTTTAAGTTTTTATTTCTTCAGTCTCTCTCAGTCTATTCTTTCTATTCCTCCACACCCATACCAATATATATATACACACATTTATTAACATACACAAATATAGACCTATAGACACCCACACACGCACGGCACCTGAGTAATTTCCTTGCAAACTATACTAAACTCCAAACAGAATCTTACATTTCTACTTCTAAGGGTTCCATCCAATCACGTTCCAGAAAAATCCCAACCCCCTACTGATAGTTATATTTTAATATATTATTACTTGATATCAAATTAGAATTTTATTGTCCCTTTAGCAGGAATATAAAGAAATGTGTGGAAATGAAAAATGTATAAAGAATGAATCAGGAAATATATTACATAAAATACTCAAGTAAAGACTATTAAAACTGCATAAGAAAATGCAACAGATACCTGTCATGAGGTATCACTGAAATGAAATGGGATTTAGATTTAGTTCCAGTGAAACCATTTCTTCACCAAAAAAAAATATTAAATGAAAAAGCCAGTTTAATATTCTAGCTCTGAAAAATGAGATAAGTGACACTACACCACCTCTTTAGCAAACCATCTGTATATCACTATTTAAGAATGGTTCAGTTTTCAAAAGAAAAAAAAAACAAAATAACTACTTTTTGGAAAAAAGTCAATATTCTTTTAAATGATAAAATAATGCGTTTTCTTTAAAGTTAGCTTAGAAACAAAGAAAGGCATTTCAATGAATATCAGTGTATTCCTCAGAAATGAAAAGCTGTTTTCTTATTCCAGTTCCCATGCTATACCGAATTATGATAATATACGATATCAAAAAAAGCTTTTGATATTTCAGAACTAAAACATAAAACAAATTTAATTTGGGAAATTAAACTCAGGATTGAAGGATAATGAGCTTCATCTTGGAACTTTTCCATCTTAGTCATCTGACCTTTAACATGGAATTTTACACGAGAGGATTTAATCAGAAGAGGTGCCCCAGACATATTAACTGATAGTTAGGGATGGACCCCATTACCCTTTTTGTTCAAATTCTCCTTTGTTTCTCTGAGCGTCACTCGTCCATGAGAATGTTCAGTGAAACTCTCAAGTTCTGACTTATTCACCTATCATGGAAATTGGTACCAGAAACAGAAAGAAGCCCGTCCAAAATCTTGTGCTTCCACAAATCTGTAGGCTATTCAGCCTAAAACGAAGGCAAACGCCTTCCCTGGGCCGCATGTCCAAGAAAAGGGTTTGGATAGACAACGAGCACTCTCAGAAGAAAATAAAGCAACCTACCTTTTTAAAAATTCCATATACTCGGTATGCTTGATGAGTCCTGTCCTCATCATGATTGTTTGAAAACATTGTCGATCAATGGCCCAGAGTTTCACATTTACAAGAGCTGGAGAAAAAAAAAAAAAAAAAAACAAGAAAAAAATTAAACAATTTCAACCGTGAACCACATCACGCAGAAGAGGGATTCAGCAGAGTTATGGAGATGATGAGCCCTCACTTACACTGGATACCATTGTTACTATCCTGTTTTGTTAAGGAGGCAAGTATTCTTACAGGCAAAATGTAGTTCATAATTTTCCATCTAGTGTCATTGCCTAATAGGAAGATTCTTGTTGCTCTTCTGTCCTTAAGGGATGGGAATGCCTAAGTACACACTGAAAAAATTTAGTACTTTCAAGACTATCCGTGAACAAAATCACATAGAGAGAAAGAAAGATTCACAATTAATAACACTCCCTCGTAATTACCTGGCATGGTGTTCATGACTCAAATGATCACATTTTCATTGTAAAAGGTAGAGGTGAAACTCAATCTTCAGGCTTAGGGGTGAATTTAATATAATAGAAATAATTGCACAATGATTTCTACATGAAACTCATTTTTGCAAATTGTAACCTGTGCCCAAAGTTGTCCTGTGAAGTTCTACCAGGTATGTTTGTTGAATTTTAATTTCTAGTCTCTTATGTACACAGTCTTTGACAATAATAGTGTTGAAATGGACTACCATAGAAGTTCACCATTTGCTCTAAGACCATTTGATCTATTAAGACACAAGTTTTGGAAAAAGATGCTATAGGGTAACAGAACGATACAGAAGATAAACTTAGGTTTTAAAAGAACACACTGAAAGTCTCCGTAACAGAATCTGCGTGCTGGGCATACAAGACGCTTATTATACTATGCTCTCTGTTTTTATGTATGTTTGCAAACTTTCATGATAGAAAATATTTTAAGTTAGCACACAAATGAAGAAAGCCAATTCAGAGATCAGACCTGTGGGGGCTGGGGTAAGTAAGGATGCAGGGGTTGGAGCCAGACAAGGGAGTAGGGACAGTTTATAGTTTAATGAGCTGAACGTGGAAATATTGAAGAGGACAATTCTCTCACTAAGCCCACTGAATGTAATGGATGGAGCTCTGGGGGTAGGGAACAGGGGCAGAGTATTAGGCTGCAGGTGTGACACACGGGGAGGGGCCATGAGTAACACAGAGCAATGGAGGGAAAGACGAGAAAGCAAATACCATGCTCTAGAGTAAAGCCCTATCTTTGAATCTTATCTAATTTTTCCTCGCAGAATTTTTTGAAGCTAAGAAACTAGAACATGACTTCTCCCTTAGCCTGCTCTTTATTGGAGAATAAAAGGTGCTCAGTTAATGAGAAAATGAACAAAGCATCAAAGGCTGATGTGCACATGGCTCCATGCCAAGCAGCCTTTAAAAATGAACCATCATCCAAAACAAAGCTCCTGGCACAGGCGCTCCCCAGCTACATTCTAGTTCATTGGCTGAATCCAGGCTCATTTCCAGAACACCTGTTCACTTGAGACAAACCCTAAGACTGGATGACATGACCACGAAGGACTGCCAATTTAGGATTCACCAGAAGGAGAGTCTTTTAGAAATGACGGGAGCTGAGCTAGGGGAGAGAGAGAGCGGGGAGAGCGCAAGAGCAGGCCTGGGAGGGGGCCTGGGCTGGGGAGCCCAGGCAGGGATACCACAGACTGAAAGGGGGGAGACTCTGCGGGGTCGCTCCGTATTTTCTTTTAATTTATTTGACAGAGAGAGAATGTACACAAGCAGGAGGAGCGACAGGCAGAGGGAGAGGGAGAAGCAGACTCCCCGCGGAGCAGGGAGCCCGATGCGGGGCTCGATCCCAGGACCCTGAGCCGAAGGCAGACGTTTTACCCACTGAGCCACCCAAGTGCCCTGGGATTGCTCCATAACGTGAGAGCGAGTTGCTGCGGGGAAACCAGATATAGGAAGCAGGGATTCATGTGATGAACAACAGAAGGCTGCTAGAGATCTTAAAACAAAGGGAAGAACCAGAATTTAAGAATATACCACAGATACATGAAAAGTGTTTGAATGCTTACAAGAAAAAAAAAAAAACCCAATTCTATATTCATCATCATTCTTAACTGTTCCTAGGTATTTCCAGCACACAAAGTCCTCCTCCAAAGGATAAATTAGGATACACCAATTTTACTTTAAACATAGGGGCAATGCAAATAGTTGTACTATCAAATATATACATCTTGCACTGTACCTCGAAGGTCTAGTTAGAAGCAGATTTAAGGGAACTCAAGCATGCATGCATGAGACGGCTCTGCCCTGCAGACAGACTTCACCAGCATCCTCCCAGCAGCAGTATATAAAAATTTCTATTATAGGCTCTTACACCAACTGATAGGATCACAGTGATAGCTGATAAAGACTAATCTAGGAGGGGCATAAATTGGCTTCAAAAGCACCCTAGTCAAGCAGAAAACAGACCAACACTGCCACTGCCAAGTAACACTTTATGTAAAAACCAGAAGGCAGAGCAGAAATAGGACGGAAATGGAGAAAAATGGTTCTGGTCATGTGCTGCGTGCACAATTTCAAACAAGGAGTAGTAAGTACCAAGCAGAGGTCATGGCACTCAGGAGTTAAGTGAGGAGGGTCGGGGGTGTGTCGGTGTGGGTGTGTCCACACACACACACACACACACACACCCGTGAACAGATGTGTTGTGACCAAATTTTCTGCAACAGTTTGAGTCTGAGTTCACACTTGGAGGCCAGGCTCTGTCCCTGGTCCCTCCTGATGAGCCAGGTTTCTGCCCTGTGTCTCTATCTAGAGCACGTTACCAATATTGTTCACGATGTCTGCTATGTCTAGATCATGTTTCCTCAAGTAAGTTGGCATGTTACTCCCAGAGAAAAGTCCATGTCTCATTTCTTATAACTTCTCCCCACTCATGAAATTAGCTTTTCATTTGCTAAGCATTGGGTCTATCTGTTAATATAATTTATGTATATAAAGTTCACCTAAGGAAAAAGTAAGCCTAGGTGGACTCTAACGTTACATTAATTCAGTTAGGTATTTTAACCAGGCCTCATAATCCATGTATTAAAAAATGAGCTCTAAAAATAAGTTCACAGAATCCAATAATTTCATTTTATCTTCTCATTCCCATTTACATGGGCTATTGGAATGTCTCTAAGTAAAACTGTTTCAGATATTTTGCATGATAATGAACATGGCTTGATGAGACTGCGAATTTTCCATGACTTTGGGCGAGATGCCAAAACCTTTTCTGTATTCAGCCAATATACCTATTAGTCAAGTCAGCATTTCACAGGTGGGCAAGCCTGACTAATAATCACCTCGCCTTGTTATCAAGAATGTGGTTATATTCGAGTTGTGATTAACGTCTTGCTTCTTCAACGGCCCGCTGGAGCGTAAGTCTGGTGCTTCCATACCTTACAGACCATTTGAAAAAATTAGAAAACAAAACAGTCTTTCCATGTACCTTTGATTTTAAGTGGTGTATTAATCTCTGTAGGGAATAGGCACTTGACAAAAAAGTTCCTGTGATTTTCTTCATGATTACAGTTGTTGAACATGTAAGTCTCAAGGGCATTAGGCAGATGAAGTGTTGGGAACAGAGCTTCCTTTTTGTTCAAGTATGTACCTAAAATTCTCTGCTGAAACAGTGATCATTTCTTCAGTTAAAGGCCACATTGAACTCAGGAAAACAGGCCAATTCCCATTCCTCTGAGATCTCTAAGTGTAGGAGTCCAATAAGAACACCTTCAACATAGGCCACAGTTGGCCTAGAATTAGCCTGACACTAAGATACTACAGAGGGGGAGCCGCAAAACTGTGCTAGACTCTCATCACAAATCTGGGCTTGGCTTAAATTCTATTGGGGAATCCACCCGCTGTGAAATTCAAATTTTGGACGAATACTGAGAAAGCATGTGTGGGTATACAACACTTACAGTCTCAATATTTATTCAGCCCATATTTATTTTATACCATTCTAGCCAACACTGGTGCTATATATAAGGGATAGAAAGCAAACATATAGCTCCTGCCTTTAAGCACCTTGTGATCTAGAACAGAGGCCAACAAACTGTGGTCCGTGCCAGACCCGGCCCGTGGTCAGTTTTTATACAGCCTGCCAGCTATGAATGGGTTTTGTATTCTTAAACGGCTGAAATTCTTAAAAAGAAAAATATTTCCTGACACATGAGAATTCTAGGAAACAAATTCAGCGCCCATAAAACATCTGATCAGAACACAGCCAAGCCCATTTGTTTCCATATTGTCTCTGACGGAATGGAGTCGTTTTGACAGATAGTTATCTGGCCCCTTGCAGAAAACACTTGCCATCTCCTCGTCTCCCATAATCGAACAGCCCATCAAGATTGAGTACCAGCAGTGGGGAAGTATCTGGGGCTGTGAGTACACAGCTAAGGCCTCCCAGTCTCCCCTGCTCCCTGTGGGGAAGAGCTGAGAAGGGCTGATTCAAGGCACTGCAGAAGACCATCTCCTAAGCCATGGTTCTTCACCTGGTGCTATGGACGGAATAGGTCTCCCCCAAATTCAGAAGTTAAAGGCTTAATTTCCATCGTGATGGTACTTCCAGACAGGGCCTATAGGAGGTACATAAAGTTCTGGTACTAATTCCAATGGGGCAGGGTTGGGGGAGTTCCCCCACACCAACAAACAACTCTGAGGACACCAGTTTGATGTTCTACAATTCAACCCAATTCTGATACTATCTACCCAGAGGTGGCATCAGACTCTGAAGTTTCACTCTTGAAAAACTGCCTCCCCTCCTCCTACCCTGAGAGGCCAGTCGACAGCCCCTGTACTTGCCAATAAGGACATGGAGAGATGTAGAACACCATTAAACGTTAGGGAAGTGCAAATCACAACCTCAATGAGATACTACTTCACACCCATTAGATGTGAACACATTAGAACTCTCGTGCATTGTTGGTGGGAATGGGCAATGTTGGAGACACCATGGAAAATGGTATAGCAGTTCCTTAAAAAAAAATTACACAAAGACTTAGCATAGGATCCAACAATCCTGCGTCTAGATATA